TGGCCCGTGGGGTGCGAGAAGCTAGACACGATGCACGTGGTGGTGAGGCCTTGCAGTATAATTTAGAATTTATACATTTACATTTCTTTTTTTTTTTTTTTAGATGTATCCTTATGAGGTGTACGTACACCGCAAGTTTCTGCATCCATGCACAACACCTCTCTTCCTGTCTCTGCGTTCATCTCTCCGTGGCAGCTTTCTTTATACATGCATGTAGAAGCCTTTCATGCCGCTTGCGTGCATGCATGCATGCATGCATGCATGCATGCATGCGTGCATGCATGCATGTGATTTCTGTGTTGTGTTTGGGGCTTTGTTGCAGACGAAGCAGGGGAAATGCCATGAGTTTGTCAGGAAGACAAAAGCGCCGTTTCCTCCGGGCCTTCAGCAGACAGATTTCGACGAAGATGAACACGAAGGTAACCTTAGTTTAATAGATTTCAGAGGGTTTAGGGTTTAGGGTTTAGGGTTTAGGGTTTCTGTTTGGGGGTGGGCGCGCACCCGCCACGCGGTGATAGCATTGAAAATGGTTGCACTGAAGGCAATCGACGAATTAAATTGTGAATTTCTTTTTTATGAATTTCCTTTTTTTATTTTTTATTTTATAATTATACTTTTTCCTTCTCCCTTCGTTTCCACTTTTTGTTTTCCGATCTCTCACTGTTTAGGTTTTGTTTCTACTTCGTTAATTTTCTTCATTTTCCGGGCTTTTTCATGTTTTTACTTTTTCATATTTATTAATTTTATTTGTTTTTCGTTCTCCTTCTTTTACTTTTCTTTTTTGTTTATTTTTATAAATTTATTCAGTTTATTCCTTTTTTATTTTTTTGTGAAATTTCGCGTTTTTTCATTCTTTTGCGTGTTTCACGTTCACACTGTATTCAAGTTTCACTGAAACATGAATTTCATGAATTTTTTTTAAATTTAATTTATTTTTTTTTATTTTTTTTTTTGTTTCTGGTGTGTATACAGTATATGAACTAACCGAAGCATGGCATGCTGCTCCAGTATTAACGAGCGAGAAGATATTGAACAGAAACTGCAGAACAGCTGCTGCATGGGAGAGGCCTCAGGGGGATGCACCGGAGCCTTTCTTCAGAAACTGGGCGAAAAATCACGACGAAATTCACGACGCTTTCACCAAGGCCGAGCGACAAGGCATGGAATTTGTTCGATTCAAAATACCCCCAGAAACACCCGTCAGTAACTTGCACGCACACGGCTCAGAGCGTCGATGATCGATGATCGAGGGTCTACGGTTTAGGGTTTAGGGTTTAGGGTTTAGGGTTTAGGGTTTATTAGCTGGGAAAGCAGAAAGGGATAAGTCCTGA